ATTGTAATACTTACAGGTAACATGGATCAAAATTTAAAGCACAATTGCATGAAATAATTTTTCCGGTTTTCTGTTTTTTAAGAACATTCTCTGTCCTTACGTCAACGTTTTCATGGAAAATAAAGATCATTAGAATTTAAAATTTATTAGAGTTAGTAAACAAAAAATTTTCTAATAATGATTGGAATTTTTGGGGAGTCTACGGTATTCTGTCAGAGTATTTCATTATCTCTCATTCACAATAATTGAGGGTAGGGCCCAGGGGCAGCAGTGCCGCTTTTCTTCATAATTTTCATGTAATATTTACGTTATCTAGTAAACGGTATTGAAAAATATAACAAAATCAGTTTCGGTCAATAATGAAAAGGAACATAGATTACGTCTTTGAATAGGACAAAATTCTTCATGAAACATCAGGCTCATAAGAACCATATGGCAACGAATATCTGTGTTAAAAAAGGCTTCCAGATTTCATATTATCGAAAAATGACTTCAAAATTCGATGCCGCATTTTGCTATTTTGATTTTTTTAATTATTATAATGAACATATAAATTATGGCCCAGTGGTTAAACGGCAGGGTGGCCCAGTGGTTAAAGTTCAGAGTAACAAGATTGGCGCAGAGAGGCGCGGGTTCGATCCCAGCTCTGTGCGCCAGTTTCTGGTCAGAATCGGCAAGGAGGCCGGGCGGTTAAGCACAGCAGAATTGTGTAGCAGTGAGTTGCGAGTTCTACGGCCTACTAAACGCTGAAACCGCTATTATTATTATTATTATTGTTATTATTATTATTATTATTATTATTATTATTATTATTATCATTATTATTATTATTATTATTATTGTTATCATTATTATTATTATTATTATTATTATCATTATTATTATTAATATGAGCATATATGGTAATTGCATTCCTTCTTGTTGAGTTTAAACTAAAGTTTCACTGATTTTGATATACAAAGTTGTAACTAAAAATAATAGAGTTAAATAAATATTTTTGTGACCTCAAAAATTTTTCGAAAAATTAAGTGATACCAGGCTAAGCTTGAATGAGAAGAAAATTCTCATTCTGGAAAAAATTAACAGTATTTCGAGGGGTTCACAAAATAATATAAGTTTATATGTGGTGGATAATAAAATATTTAAATTTCTTGCGATAGCAATCATCCTAAGAAACAAATGCTGGTCTCTGAGTCAAAAGCAGTGCATCAGCAAAAGCAGTTATTCCTTCAATAAATTTCCATCGAATTACATGAATGAATAAAATTTTAGGTGATAACAAAGAAAAACGCATTATGAATACAATTCTTTGGAGACATGAACGAGCTTTAAAAGTCATGCCCAGTTTAATTATAAATTTAACGAGAGCTTAATAATTTCTAGGTGGATCTTTAACCGCTCTGTGGTAGGACTGTACGCCATAGCCTACCTAAATGTTCTAATGTTCAAAATAAACAAATATTTATCAGATTATATTTCTTATAAGGTCAAATGGTACTTTTTTTGATACTTGAACTTATCCTAGCGCATTCTAACGTCCTAGGATAGGTGTACTCATGAATCAGTAATTCTTCCTATTAATCCGTGGCAAGAACGGAAGGAAGGAAGAATCCGTGACATCTTTCTTCCTATGAAGAAAGATTGAAGATTATGAAGCTTCCAAGCCTCAGTTATCGACGTCTGCGTGGGGATCTATGGAAAAATATATGTTCAGATTTGAAATGCTTAGCTCCTTATCGAACTCGGTGGAAGTCTAGTAGCTACTTCAAACTATCGCCAGTCATGAAAAGATCCGGTCAAATGACACGAGTTTCGATCTATGAACAAGGCACGAAATGGAAAAGAATCGGCGACAGGCCACATCAGGCCTACACTTCAGAGCCGACTTCACTATGTTAAGATCGAGCTAACGCCTTCAATTTAATTGACATCACTTTGTAAAATAGCTCTTTTTAACATCAAGTGTGACAATGGTTGTTATAACTATTTTCAATGAACAAGCTAAAATAACTTTGAAAGCAGGAAAAAAATAGTGTTTCTTTCACGATGTTATATATGATAATATCAATTGTCATTGTGTAGGTGATAGATAATAAACATCAACAAATTTTGAGACTGCGTTTTTTTCAAATAATATATCCTTGGCCAATAATTCTTTGTTACTGTTCTTTCATATTTTTATCACAGAGTCAGAAAATATACAAATTAAACATCATGGATTTTTTCATAATGAAGGTGCGGAAAAGTAAGGTCCAGCTCGACTTCATATGTAAACAAATTAAATGCCGGTTGGGGTTGGCGGCTAATCCTAGTTATAATTTATAAACCGCAGTTGGGACTTGGGTGTCTACTGTCTAGCGATTATCTGTTAGGACACTTCTTGGAGTAGGCAACTTTTGCAGAAATTTTCAACATGCAATAATAAGAGCAGCAGTCATCTATTTAACACAGGCAAATGGCGCGGCTTCTCTATAAATATAGTATAATGCACAGCAGCACAACTACAAGTACACCTCGTGTCTCTTCTCAAAGGCTGGATCCCTTGTGAATCAAGTCACGAAAAATTCAAGAATCTGCAACAGGCCATGGGCCTATTTCTTCAGTGCCGACACTTCTATTCTATTCTAAGTGCATCTTGGTTTGAGATCAGATATAAATCTGCAACTGCATCTGCAAGCCCACCGGAGACTGGATAAAATTACCAAGAATCAGTGAAACAATACTGAAACTTCCCAAGCAAATTCTCCTGAGTGCAGGTGTAACAAGTGATGATCATGCACAATGTGCGGCTACTTACTCACCTTCAAGCCAGCAACCTGCAACCACAACATAGAAATCCCATACTATCTTCAGACTCAGTCCCTGGAAATTGGAATTAAGATTATCCCAGATGCCAGATTGAAGTTGAACCAGCAAGCAAATTTGAGCTGCTCCAATTTCCAACCAGCCAATTTATTTTTTATTTAAGTAACCACTGGCACTCTGGCAGTCTGGCACAGTGGCACTGATTCCACCATCCACAATCAGCATAAATCATGCTTTATTCATTAGATTATCCATGCTATTTGTTGAGTTCTTCCATCCTAATTGGACCTGTGACACTAATTGTTCTGGCTCTATAGCCAAACTGGAAAATGGGGCTTGTGTTACCTGTGAATAATAGCTATGAGAGTAATGAGACAAAATTGCCAGTACTTGCTCTCAATTGTAAAAACTCCTATGCTCTTTGTCATATTTTTAGGTTCAAAATTGTGAAATAATGCACACTGGAAAATTGGGTTGAAGCCATTAGTAAATTAGATAAAAATGCCTGTAATTCTAGGTTTCTAGCCAATTTCATCCATTACTTTGGCCTTTTACATTTTTCTAATTTATTCAGTGATAAATAAGAGAAAAGGCCTATTTTTACCTGCTAGTATAAACAAACACAGTGAAAAATTTGTTTTTACCTGCAATTTTAAAAAACTTTGCTTGAAATTTCATATTTCAAATAATACCAATTTTTCCCAGCAATTTTCGTAAATCACAATCAAAGTGATCATTTATATCTGCAATTTTTAAGAAATTCTACTTGATATTCCTGATCAGTTGTTGTTTGCAGGCTAGAAATATTGCTGCTTAACTGTGATTTTTGAAATTTCTGTCCAATGTGTTGGATATGCCAAATTGAGTCCAAGCCATGACTAGAGCTTTCCTAACATTTTTTTGAGCCACAATATTAAAGATTCCTACTGGATGAATTCTCCTATCCCATGGTCAGGAAGATGTGCCAGGTGCGCGGGAATTTATTTTGTCATTTTAACGACCTGCGCGGTGCACCGTACTATGCTGGTAAAAAATGCGCTGTGCACCGTACTTTAGAAAGCTAAAATAGTTCTACTATTTTAGTCGACAATATACGCGAGTATATTGACTACGCGAGTCGAACTGACAATAATAAAATGTAAGACATGTCCGGGTTACTTCTGACTGTTCCGCTTGTCCGCCTTGTCGGATACGGAACGTACGGTAATCGTATACTGCGGCTATTATACATACAAAATGTAAACAGACGGTGTAGGTGTTCAGTGTTGCCATATGACCTTGGAGAAAATTTCTTCTAAAATAAAGTTCTAGATTTCTCATTCACCAAATTTCCGTATCAAGAAAAATTATATATTATTGAAAGATAATTAAAGGCATACTCTACTGAGTAATGTGAGTATTACGTCTGTTCCTCCACAAACTGCTCGTGCGCGGCAGCGCGACATAGAATTGATAGCCGGGCAATAGCTTAAAAAAAGTGAAAATGCGCGGGAAAATTCACCGAAAACATACATCATCCTGAGTGTGGCTCCTATCTCATTGTTGTATGTTCTATGATCTAAAACTGTATGATCTACAATGCACAACTTTATAGCCTTGTGGCTCATGGCACAAGGATAGGTTTGCATTAAATTGCATAGATGCACATAATTTTTTAAGCAATTTTTGTTGCATAGCACATAGGGCATTTATTTCTCAATGTAATAATTAAAGATTATACAAAAAGGAACACATGGGATAATATCTGAATTTGTGATTTCCACTTTTCTTATATGGTAGTATATAGAATTTCAATTCATTTTTTTAGTTTAGACTTTTTAGGTAATTTTGTTTAATATGTTAAGAAAATTTTCATCGAACATATTTCTGAATAAGTAAGTAGTTTACTTTCTCCTGCTTTGCAGTGTTAAGGTTATATTAATCAAAATTGTAATATAATCCTTGAATTGTATGCAATAAGTTAATGCCAATATGTTTTTTTTATGTCCTTGCTTTCCTTTAAACTTAGTAATCTTGTAAAAATTTTAGGATTAAATAATTTAAAAATGTATATAAAGCATTCAACATTGTATAATAGAGTTTGTATTTTATTTACTGAACCAGTTTGTATATTAATTCAAGCCTTTAAGAACCTTTATATAAATTATGAATAAATATATGCAGGAGGTCTCATGGTAGATGTGGAGAGTTAAAAGCCACCATCAATTAAATTTCTTTTTCAGGTTCCTTAAACAGTACATATTCTGTGTTTATTTTTAATCTTTTCTTTGTAATAATTTCTCAATCATTATCTTCAAAATGATTTCGGAAGCTAGAATTTCTCTCAAAATTCTGAGAGCAACAAGGAGGCCAGTATCAGCATATCTCTTGCACCCCAGAAAACCTTTGCTTCTTACCTCTAAAAATTGTATGTTTCACGCATCCCATTCTATAGTTCTCAATGAGTTGACTCGAGAAATTGTTAATAAAAAGCCCTTGTGTAGAACTATTCTGCCGATTATGTGTAAGCAGAGCATCATGTATCAAAAATATAGAAATTTCTCCTCCTGGAACCCGCAATCAAATGCGGGAAGTATAAAGAAAGAAATCAGAATTCTACTGAGTGAGCCTCATTCAACCGAAGAATTCGAGCCATTTTCAGGCTACGTCCCCTTCTCTGAACAAAAGAAAGCTTCCTCACTTGTGCCTCGGTACTTGGTCAACATTGCAGTTGATCCCTACGTTCAGCATGATAGTATACTAGAAATATTCCGACTATATGCTGTAAGCATGAGGCCCTTAACTCAAGATAAAATTGATTTTCCAGTAGAGTTCAAGTCCTTATTGCCGGCAACAGAACAAGCATTTAAGGTCATGAGTTTACCAGAACTCTATTCTATGTCTCAGTACCTGCAAGCGTTGCGAGCCCAGAAACTAACGTTTATCGACAACCTGATCAGGTCGCTCTGTCAGGAATGCTGCGCTCGACTGCATCACAAGCCTAAGTTCGAAGAAGCAATGAAGTTATACGAGCTTGCCATAGACGTGTACGCTCGTGCGTTGCCTCGAAACTACCACGAAATATTTAGTGAGTTTTTCGTCCATAACGTCGAACGAGCTTCACTTAAGGAAAAAGTGAAGCTCATGTACTTTTATTGCTTAAATCCTAAGCAAATGTTTCCGCATCTATTCGAGGAGCTTCTGGAAGCGGTGATCCCGCATGTTTCGGACATGTCATTTCAGATGCAAGGCGTCGTAGCGCACTGCGTCCTCAAGAGTGGTGTCGAGCTGCACCCTGATTTACCATTATTACCAATGCTAGCACCAAACCTGCTATCATGTCTGTTGTCAAGTGACCAACTCAGTATTCTCGAGTTAAACTCCGTGACGTCTGAGCTCGAACTCATGCGGCTCGCACGCTACCAAAATAATGATATCACTTTTGCCCTCGAGAGTTTCCTACTGAGCTGCCGTGAAGAGAGTTGTCTGACTCCTCACTCCATCCCTCTTTTCCTTGCTTATTTGGCCACTCGTCATTATAATAAAGAGGTATTCGCTAAAATCGAAGCTTATTTGATGAAGATGTTCGCGAGCGAAAGCGACCACGGGATTCAGATGACGGAACTTGCCCGGATAATGTGGGCTTACAGCGCCGTGGCGCACCCCTGCTCCGACGTCTTCATCAAACAGGTACATATTTTGATGTCTAAGTAGCTGGTACCTGATTTTGCTTATCAAATTACTTGTTTTGTTAGTTATTCCAAGCTCATCGCTTTGGCGGCATCAGATAATGTTTTTTAGGTAATAATCACGCCCAACATTTTTAAGTTTTCGCGTTATTGCAATTTATGGCATTGTTTTGATAAAAGCTTAGATCATTAAACCTACTCATTCGATCATAACTTTTGCGTGTTTTGATTATTTATTTCGTGCATATTATAGAATTCTTAAGCATTAATACAAATAACTCTGTTGTTATGGTTATGGCAGGTGATGGCTGAGCTCGCCTCACAAGTGAAGGTGGAGAACATGAACAAGAATCTCCTGAAGTTCGTGGACGCGCTCTACTCGATGGCGGTGATGGGGCGGGTGGACCTGCAGCTCTGCAGACACGCTTTGCTGCCCATCAAAGGGAAAGCTCTTTATTACGGAGGTCTCTTGACATAAATTCTGTATCTAATTCTCTTCTATTTGAATTTTCTTATTTGTAAAGGTGTATGAGTTGCGAGTGTTTAACCCTCCATGTGCTTAATCTTTGTGTGTTTAAGATATGTGTATTTTATTCTATGTTTATATGCGTACAATTTATGACCAGAGAGTGCATTTGAATTTTCAAGGAGTTGAACAATTCTTAGATGACGTTGGTAGATTTGAACTATATTGGAGGAATTGGACTAACAACTGCGACATTGAGTATTATAAACAAGCAGCTTCATCTCAAGTTCATTGATGAATTCAATATGCTTGACGACACCCTTGACAACAACGTCAAACTCCGGACTATACGAAACAATGGCCCCTGCCAAAAAGCTCAAGTTCTCAAAGAGGCCAGTGTAGTTCATAAATTTTGCTTCAAAGAAGGTTGTAGACTTCTTCATCATTTGGACTACATTGGAGTATTTGGACTAAAAACCACGACATTGAGACCGTCTCACCTGTCATCTTCAACCTGGAGGGCAGAGAAGCCCCCTGAGACAAACTCACAAGACTGTCGCTCGCACCGTGCTGGAGAAACCCACCATGCAGCATCATGCGGAGGTGCACAACATTAATTGACCAACGATTGCTGGAACCGTCTCAATTTTGAATTGGACCCCAGCTATCGATTTCCAAGCTACCGGATTTGTCTAAAATAAAATTTGAGATTGTTTGCGTAAGGACTTTCTGGCTCGAAATTTTTGTGTTGTATCCTATTTACGTGTATTATGTACTTATGTCCAACCAAATTTCACTATTCAATGCTTCTCTTAACTTGAAAATGAATGTTGCTACATTCGAAACGTCGTTAATATATTATTATTTGCTAAATCTGCCTTTTGATCTACCAACGTCATCTAAGAATTGTTCAACTCCATGAAAATTCAAATGCACTCTCTGGTCATAAATTGTACGCATATAATCAAGAAATTTCTGCCATCTTATAATAATTTATTCTATGTATGTATGTATTTAATATTTATTCATGTGGTGAGTAACCTCTGCTTCGTATGGGCTAGCACACGCGCGTTATTCATCCTCATGTGTTTATAAACTCTAGTGCATTTGACTACGGTAATTGATTCGCTCTTTATGAGAGGACATTTGGGGAGACGCCTATGTCCGTGTCACTCCGGCTTTATAAATGGACTGCGTCCCGACAACTGCTTACGTCTCTGGAAGATTTGTATTTCCTCCCCCTTTAGCAAGCCACTAAATGCTTACTTTTAGTGATGCCAAGCAAAGCAGCCAGATATCACACACACAAATTCCCGAACGTCAGGAAGAAGTTGATTGCAATCACGATGTTGAAATTACTGTTGAGAGAAAACTCCATTTTTGAAAATCGGACGCTAACATGATCGCCGAATTTTCAACCATAGAAATCACTGCCGGCCCGAGATCCATGCCATTGAGCTGTCCATTTTATGTGACATCGTCAGGAATTGTGTGCCGGAAGTTTTTTATACGTCACTTAGGATTACAGCAAGGAGTTCATCATGTTTTTTTTCTTCTCACTATCAATCTTGTGAGTACCGTGACCTCGAAGTTCGGTCGATCCAATCACCTAGACAATCGCTTCGTAGAATAATAATAATAATCATATAAGACTCAGCAACTGCCGAAAATCTTACGAATAGTAGCTCTTAGACTCTGTTGGTCTACTACCGCATCTGACAAAAGCTCAATTGACTTTTTAATTAGTGCGCTGCTAAACGGGAGAAAAATTTCACGTGATGCGGGAGTAAGTCTGGCTTGTCTGATCGCCACCGTCGTATACGGCCACCTGGTGATGGAGGCCTCATCATGGTTCTAGGACCTCATCGATGATGAGGGCTGATTTATTCATTATAGAGACACCAATTAATAAATATTCTAGATATTTTTTGGTTTAAGATACTTTAATTAGCCCGTTTTTTTTTTCTTAGAGTAAATTTTCTTATGAAGTTTTCTCAGTTTTTAACTTTGTTGGTTTTCCCTTTTCCTTTAATTATACTTGCTTACAGTACTGTGATTTTTGATCCGCTTTGTATTGATGTGCCCTCCAACTTGCTGGCATCTTCATTTCGTTTCACTTTTCCTGCCTTCATAAATTCATAGACCTAAATTTTCCTTGTATCTCTTCCTACCTTTTTCGAGTTTTTCTGTCCTTTTCTTCTCTCCCTCTTCTTCTCTCCTTTTTCTTCTTTTTGCCTTTCGTCCTCCACATGTTTCTCTATGTCTATAATTACCATGTGCGTTTTTCATATCATTCAACATTTCTCGCCGCCTTGTTCGCCCCCGTCTCACCCCTCTTCATCCCCCAGGACATCTACAAGTGAAGTTACTCTCACGGATCGCCGCTTTGAGGGAATGCATCAGTATCGAGTACCCAGAAGTTGTCCTTCCTCCGAAGACCACACCTCCAGTCACCTCGGTGCCCTTGGACCCCCTCGAGAAGAAAATGGCAAGACCTTTACTTCTTAAAGTGTACAACGCCCTCGAAGAAACCCTTGCGGACTCTACTTTATTGACCATCAAGCATCATTGTCCGCTGGAGACCGTCAAACATTCTGGTGTCTGTCTACAACTCACAGATCCTTCAATCGGTACATTCGTCTCTCATAGCTCTGTTGTCGATACTCAAGATTCAAATGTATCAGAATCCTCTAACAATATTGATCCTATGCCTCCATTCGCCCAAAACTCCGAAGGTGGTGGTGATTTTTATTCTGAGGTTTCTGATAGCAATAACAACAACGCTGTGTGTAGTGGCTCGGAAATTTCTTACTCTGAATCTGAGTTAGTAAACCGACTTGTTAAGTCGCTAGTCAGATGGCGGTGTCCAGTATCTGTAGAGGTTGTTGACGAAAATTGTACGATTAGGGAAGGAAGCCACTTGCTAAGACATACGGGAATTTTTATGTACAAGCTGCGTCTCTTGAGTAAGCTAGGCTGGAAATGTGTTCTCATTAGCGGTGAAGCTGTCGCCAATGCTTCCTCTGTAGCCCAGCTTATGGAGATTGTCTTGCAGGAATTGGAGCGCTAAACATCTTTTTCCGATTCATCAGAAAGTCTTTTAGATATTGTGTATGTTTTCATGACCTGTTTGAATTTTGTTATCAAAACCGTTATTCATCTATCCATCTAAATATTATGTAGTAAAAATTAAGAAATTGTAAAAAAATTGTTTTTATCCCGTCTGCTGAATGATTTTGCTTTTAATCAAGTTCATGATGTTTTGCCTGCTGTTCCTTTTCAGTTCCTAACGGTTACAAGATGATTTTCAAGTTTTAGTTTCCTTGTATTTTTTTACTGTTATAACACTCATTGACATATGTTAGGTGTGAAATTCACTTGAAGGTGTCAGAATCGTTTAAATTTATCTTCATTAATTTTTCACGCCACCTACAATCGTCTCAAAATGATCAATTAATGAGCGACGAGAGTCTACTCACGCGTGGGGTACTGTCCATCATACCGCTGATATTTTTTAATAGTTATCCGTATGTAATATACCGTAATTAAATTTCGTACGCGTAAAATTATATGCTCGTATACATTCTTGGATTTCATGCTGCTCATGCGTTTTCTCCTTGTAATAACGATTCACTACCAATCAGGTGAATGCGGTTCATTTATTTATTATTTGTTATGCTATAAGCGAATTTATTGATCGAACTTACATATAATAACGTATTTTCAAATAACATTATCATGGAAAATAAATGTAATAACGTTTTACCTATTTTTCAAATTGGTCATCGCCACCGGCGAAGTTAATCGATAAATATTAAACCATTATAGGACAAATTAGTTACAGAAATTTTTATTCAATACGTTTTGCGTGTCTCTGAAAATAGTTCACGATTTACAGAACATACTACACAGGCATGTGTTGCCAATGCCTAATTCTTGTAAGACCTACCGGAGCTTATGGTCGGCTTGTTGCTGCAATTGGGTTATGTAAACATGATTCCTGTTTGTTCATTCTGCAGGGGCAGGGTGGCCGAGTGGTTAAAGTTCAGAGTACCATGATTGGCGCAGAGAAGCGCGGGTTCGATCCCAGCTTTGTGCGCCAGTTTCTGGTCAGAATCGGCAAGGAGGCCGGGCGGTTACGCACAGCAGAATAGTAGCAGTGAGTTGCGAGTTGAGACACAAAATGATGTGAATGTTCTGCGATGTTAAGAATCGGTGACAGGCCTACTAAACGCTGAAACCGCTATTACTATTATTATCACTCATACCGTATGGGCGCATGACGAACCGCATTGTAATGTAGTATAGACTGTATAGTAGTATTGACAAGCAAGCCATATAGTACAAGCCATGTCTGGGTGGTCGAAGATTATTGATATTTTAAATTATGGATGCTGCATATGTAGAATTTCTTACATCTGTCTTTGGGTTGTACCCACAACTCGCTGCAAAACGTTGCTATTCACGTCCTTTGTGCCACCAAGTTACAACTTTCAAAGCTGTTATAGTTCGTCATTTATTCCTGATGCTCACCTATTCATTTTTTTTGATAAAGTGTGCCGTAGTTTGTTTTTTGTCATCTTTTGTTTAAGCATAAGCGATTTCACCCCGCATATTGATAATGAGTCAATTTGAGTTTAGGAAAATGTGACGACCTAACTCGATCGACAATTCTACGGACTCGCCAGCGGACTCGCGCAACTGGACCACTCATAATTCCTTAAATACATAACGGATCTGTATGAATTTTGGAATATGAGTATTAATTATCGATACGCTGCCGCAGGAGTTATTGCAGATTTTTGCATGAATTATTTCTTAATTAAAACCAATAAATGTATTTGTTAAGCAACTGGGCCACTCATAATTCCTTCAAAACTTAACGGATCTGTATGAATTTTGGAATGTGAGTATTAATTATCGATACGCTGCCGTAGGAATTATTACAGATTTTTACATGAATTATTTTTTAATTAAAACCAATAAACGTATTTTTTAAGCAACTGGGCCACTTATAATTCCTTAAATACTCAACGGATCTGCATGAATTTTGGAATGTGAGTATTAATTATTGATACGCTGCCGCTGGAATTATTACAGATTTTTACATGAATTATTTTTTATATAAAACCAATAAATGTATTTTGCAAGCAACCGGGCCACTCATAATTCCTTCAATACTTAACGGATCTGTATGAATTTTGGAATATGAGTAATAATTATCGATACGCTGCCGCAGGAATTATTACAGATTTTTGCATGAATTATTTTTTATATAAAACCAATAAATGTATTTTTTAAGCAACTGGGCCACTCATAATTCCGTCAATACTTAACGGATCTGGATGAATTTAGGAATATGAGTATTAATTATCGATACGCTGCCGCAGGAATTATTACAGATTTTTGCATGAATTATTTCCTAACCTAACCCAATAATAAGTCATGTAAAAATCTTTAATAATTCCTGCGGCAGCGTATCGATAATTAATACTCACATTCCAAAATTCATACAGATCCGTTGAGTATTTAAGGAATTATGAGTGGCCCAGTTGCGCGAGTCCGTAGAATTGTCGATTGAGTGACGACCTAGATCACTCAATTAAAAGTTGGTTGATTGAGTGCTCAAAGGTTGCTCAAAGTATTTTGAGCAACCTATGCAACTTAATAGGGAAATTTCACGATTGAGTGGCATAAAGTGCTCAAAATACTATTATTTAGAGCAGTCAATGTCACTTCATATAGCAAAAGTTTTATTTTTGTCATTTCTTTTCGATCAAATTTAGGTGAATAAATTTTTGAATGCACTGCCGGACAAAACTACTACATAAAATAGCGGCAAAATGAACCTTTTTTGTAAAGTTTACGATTTTCTTCACATGAACTTTCATAGTCCACACAGATATTATTTTCGAATGCTGTACAATCAAATGTAATATATATTAGAGCATAAAAATCATTTAACAACTTTTTTATCATATGACTTTGGAATTTTCAAATTATATTGCTTAGTTCTCAATCAAATCGTATATTGATGTAACTTATTCATCAGTTATAAGATTCGTTTTCCTGAGACACCTATTTTACCAACCAACGATGGCAACATTGTCACAACAAATATGGCGCCTTTCAGGCTCCACGAATTAGTGCAGTATTTTAAGTGTTAGCTATAATAATAGTCTTGCAGTTAACTTTAGTAATCCACGTTTCTGTGAAGTTATTACAGCATTGTAAGTTCATCGAACAATTAAATCTATTGTTATTTTTGTTAGCGAATTCTCGAAAGCATTGTTTAATTTGTTTTCATCAATAGGAGCTAGTTTCCTTGTAAAGTTGTAATTTTAGTATCTGATATTGTTTTTGTCTGTTCAATTTTTTACTGTCCTGAAAGTGAAATATGTGTTGGTAAATGGTAATTATGGCTTTGTTGGTTAACATAACTTCTAAAAACGAAAATATTACTAAGATTGTGTGTTTTTTTATGCTGTTTGAAGTTTCCTGAAGTTTTGAACCTTAACCTAGGTCTGAACAAAACTGTGGGTACCTACCTAGCCTAGGTAAGACTCGAAGTCTCTACCTACCTAAATGTTGTGCTTAATTTAGAATACTAGATTACCTAGTACCTAGGTAGATAGCCTACCCTACAGGCTACAGCTACAACAAGAGCTATCTATTCTAATGTAATGGTGCTTAAATCTTTGAAATTGGCTTGCTGGAAACCTAGAAATAGGTACCTACCTATTTAGTTTTTCCAAAAAGGGCCAATAATTTGTTCATTTTTGACTTTTGAGACGTAATTGAATAAAGAAAAATGTTGTAGCTTTTCTACTTTTATTGGCTAGTAGGTACTCCACTTAAATTTATATTGTATTTTTCTAGATTTTTCTCTTTTTGTATGCATTAACTTTCATTAGGTATGATTAAAGGAAAAAAATGTTTTTGTGCACATGCCTACTAGGGTAAACGCGGTATATTCCGACATCGTAGGTAATTCCGTCACCTCTCCAGCTTTTCCTTTATATTAAGCTTTGTTTTAGTTCCATGCGTTCATTGATGGCTAGTATGGAATATATCTACTTGGCGAGCCGCGACTGAATTTTTCGAGCCGTGGTTTTATGGATTTGCCAGCCGTGATTCTATTTCATCTTTACCCGTTGCAGTGCAACGGGTTAGGCATTTTTAGCGCGATTTTTGGGTCGGAAAAAAATCGGTTTTCCGATGCCGACCGCCAAAAATGGATTTCAGATTCGTAATCTACACCCCAAAAAACATATAATTCAAAAAAAAAACACCCTTTTTTTTGGATGTAGTTAATCTGCAATAATACCCATTCGAGCCGCGAGATTTCATACCTACTGAAATTATATGATATTAGAGCCGCGATATTTCAGACAAAAATAGGACTTTTCCAGACTAGATTGATGGTTGAAATGGTGATGTCATACATTTGTGTGTCAAAATACTGCAAAAACACTAGGTCTTGGCCATCTAGTGGGAAAATATTGAGATCCAAAGAGAGACAATGCATGCCACGTGGTGAGATCATCGAAAAATGTGTCAAATTTGACAGTTGACATGGCTCTACCAAATAGTGAATAACTGTTTTTATAGGAAGAATATTATGGTTTGAGACTCTTAAATACGTCTGTGAATATACAGCAATCCCTTGATTAGCACGGTTTTGAATACCGCGGTTTTGATTAACGCGGAAAAAAAATTTGCGACCTACCCTTAATCTACGCGGTGCCAGTTTTGATTAGCGTGACTTTTTTTTCACAACACATCATTTTCCCGCCTCTAGCCAGAGGTACGTTCGTAACAAAAGTGTTACTTTTTGCTTATTAGATCTTATGTTGTTACTTTTGTTACGACTTTTATAAAAATTTGCCAAATGTTGTTACTTTATGAATTTCAGCCAATAATTCTTTAAAGTCTAGCCGCAAGTGTGACAATAGCGTCACATGTTGTGAACTCGTTCGAACGACGTTCGATGGAGTTAGGCGCGCCGCTACTGCCAGTACATACAACACAAAGACTGCTCGTGATCTGAAAAGTAATTCAGATTGTTTTTTCACTTTCGAAACATAATTCAGTGATGAATAAGTGTGACGGTAGCGTCACATGTTGTGAACTCGATCGAACGACGTTCGATGGAGTTAGGCGCGCCGCTACTGCCAGTACATACATCACAAAGACTGCTCGTGATCTGAAAAGTAATTCAGATTGTTTTTTCACTTTCGAAACATAATTCAGTGATGAATTTTAGTGGAAATATGATGAATTTTAGTGAAAAAAAAATTATTATGTAACTTTGCTATTTTTGAGGATTCATTATAATTATTCCCATATATTCTTAAGTTTGATTAGCGCGGTTTTGCTTAACACGGTAAAACTCGGGGATTTATTAACCGCGTTAATCAAGGGATTGCTGTATTAGGAATCCTTTAAGTATACTTGTATTCGCTGATTTCAAGTGGTAAATAAATTAATAGATGATTAAGTTGAGATGTTGGATTTCGACACATGAAAACTAATTCCGTCACAACTTGAATTGGACACACACAGATCGTTCAAAGCTTTGTACAAAAATTGAAATTTGCTTAATTAAAAGCCTAATAGCTGTTAATTAAAACGTAATTAAGTAGTGTTCAATATTCGTTAGTGTTCTAATTAAAAGCCGTCTTTTATCCCAATACAGCTCACGCAGCAAACGGAATTCGAACACGTGGATGTTGGCAATACGTATCAGTTAAATTTGAAGCGCTGACGCAATACGACTCACCACATGTCGGATGTTGCCACACAAAGTGACGGAATATAGGGATTTGGTAGGTTTCCATTCTAAAAGCTTTTTAATAAATATGGCAACATTTTGTGACGTTTCATCGTTGCTGATGCGTAGTGAAGTGTTTTGAGAGTCATGTGAAGGCAACAGAACTTACGTAACGCATACGGTTTTTTTGTTATAGTTTTTCATTTCTCTATGCGTCCTTAATGTGTCGGAATATACCGCGTTTACCCTAAGAGCCATAGCCAGGAAGCCTACACTCTTTTAAGACTCATTCCCAAGGTTATTTTTGAATTTTGAGTCCTAGGTATAAATAGACCAGTAAAGTATCGTATATACAACTAGGTAATTTATGAATGATATTGTAAGATATGATGGTTTAAAAATTGAGTAGATGAAGAAAATTGAAATTTACCAATTCTATAATAAATCTCTGGTTGTTGCTAAAAAAATTTTCTATAAAAATTAACACTGAATATTAGGTAACACTTGAAGGGAGAAACTTTTCAAATAGGGTAAACGCGGTATATTCCGTCACATTAAGGACGCATCGAGAAATGAAAAACTTTAAAAAAATAACCGTATGCGTTACTCAAGTTCTGTTTGCTTTAGGTGACTCTCAAAACACCGTACTACGCGTCGGCAACGATGAAACGTCACAAAATGTTGCCATATTTATGTAAAAGCCTTTAGAATGCAAACCTACCAAATCCCTATATTCCGTCACTGTGTGTGGCAATATTCGGCACGTGGTGAGGCGTATTCCATCCGCGCTTCAAATTCTACTGATACGTAATGCCGTCATCCACGTGTTTGAATTCCGTTCGCTGTGTGAGCTGTATTGGAATACAACACGGCTTTGAATTAGAACACTAATGAATATTGAACACTACTTAATTATACTTTTAATTAGCAACTATTAAGCTTTTAATTAAGCAAATTTTAAATTTTGTACAAAGCTTGGAACGATCTGTGTGTGTCCAATTCAAGTTGTGACGGAATTAGTTTTCATGTGTCTAAATCCATTTCTCAACTTAATCATCTATTAATTTATTTACCACTTTAAATCAGCAAATACAAGTATACTTAAAGGATTCCTAACATATTCACAGACGTATTTAAAAGTCTCAAACCATAATATTCTTTCTATACAAACAGTTATTCACTATTTGGTACAGCAAGGTCAACTGTCAAATTTGACACATTTTTCGATGATGTCACTGGGTAGCATGCATCGTCTCTCTTTGGATCTCAATATTTTCCCACTAGATGGCCAAGACCTAGTGTTTTTGCAGTATTTTGACACGCAAATGTATGACCTCGTCATTTCAACCATCAAGGAACACACGGAACTAAAACAAAGCTTAATATAAAGGAAAAGCTAGAGAGGTGACGGAATTACCCACGAAGACGGAATATACCGCGTTTACCCTAAATATCAATGGAATATACAAAAACAAAATTACAAAATGTTTGATCTGTCAAAATTCATTCAGAAAGTGATCCAAAAGTTGGCCATTCAAATCTATTGCTGATTATTAGGAATATCGGGCAGAAGTTTCATAAAATTGCTGTGAAATACAAAAGTTTCACTGGGAATTTTTAAAATTGCAGCTGAAAATATACTGTTTTTCTTAACTTGTAACTATAAATTGGAAAAAAGCTGTAAAAATGGATGAAATTGGCTGATTCTGATTGGTAAATTCATAGCCAATATGTGTTTTTATCAATTGATTTTAGCAGTGGATACAAATTTTCCAATGTTGCTCATCATCCTCTTATTTTCAGTAAAATTAAATTGGAATGACTTGTTCAAAGACCAAAAACAGCATAAACAAACAAGCCACATTTACCATGTAAAACATTGTTCTGTGAGTGCATGCATAAAAAGTATTAAACATGTGTCATTAAAGCCAAATCTATTACAAATCACTAAAGAAAGTTTGCTTATAAAACTTGTGGTTGTCTCAATAAACTTTTCAATTATTCAATTAATACATAATTACGCTTCAAATGGTGGCATAAGCATGTGGCATTTCTTAATCATGACCAATCATTCCAATTTGGCAATATCCTGTTAGAAAATTTTCTTTTATAATTACCAACAAAGCAAATAATCATCTGCATGGTCAGAAAATGCTGTGCATGCAGATAAGAGGCATTTGGCAGGTCTGCCATTTTGTTGGTTATATATGATAGGCACATGGTTTTTCACTTGTATATATATTGTTGCTGGCACAATTGAAAGGTTTGAGCAAGTTTTTGAATCTAAAATTCTTTAGTTTAATCTGTAGCTCTAGTTAATGATATATATCCAAAGATTTCAAGACTCAATCTGCAATAATTTATAATTTAGACCCCATTGTCTGTGGAATGGTTATTCCACATGAATGCAACTTAAAAAAAAATTTCAAGACTTTAGCCAGTTACAATGAAATTTACCATAACATTTGTAGAAAAAATTTTGCCTAACAAGTTGATTTACACTATACCATAATATTTGCCATGATTCTGTGCAACATATTGTCATTTTGTCCAATATATAGATTGCAACAATTTCTTTGCTATTAAAGATATCATGGACATTAGGCCAAACTCTTCTCTCATGTTGACTTGTTGCCATGCACATTTTGAAGGGTTTAATAGACAACATTGATCAGGGCAGTGATACAATAGAATTATATTGGTTTCTGTATTATTTGTTGATAAATTTCTATCTTAACCCTAATCACCACGGGTTGTTGTGTCATGCTACAACCTTGGGTGCAAATGAGATCTGTTCTTAATTTTGTTGTTGTTTGTGTTTTTTCATTGTTTACATTCAGTCCACTTTTAAAGTATTTTTTAGGTCTCTTTTATTTTACATACGCTGCGATTATTTTACAGGCATTAACACATAAACCGCAGCATATGGCCTTCATTGAAAGCTTGTTATGTGCCACTGGTGGTACATGTGGCAGTTAACGTGTTAATTATATGTTTCCTATCAAATGCAGTCTTCGACTGCACAGTTGTGAACTCAAATCCACTTTTAAATGGACCAAATTTCAAGGACCAAAAAAGAATGAAAGGGCCAAATTTCTGGCCTCTAAGCAGGGCCATATCCACGTATGACAACTCTGACCGCTCGAACTTGTGTCAATGTTTCCCATGAGTAGGAGAATGTAAGTCGTTCATGTGTGCGTGTGCCTGAGAACATGTGCATATTTATAACTGGTGCATGTGCAGCTTCAGCCCTGGTGCATCTGCATCCTCATTGCTAGTTTCTCTCAAAGTTTCTTTGTTCCTAGTTTTTTTCTCTCATTGTCTGTGAGGTCGTTGTCCGCCTTTGAAAGAACTGCACAAAATGACACATTAGCGGAGCTTGAAGCTCGAGTACCTTCCACCTCCATTGCTCACTGGACTCTGATATCATGAGTCCAACAAGGGCCTAGCTTGCTGCCGGCATGCTGGTCTGCTTAGTTGGTAGCAAAAGTTTATACGTAGTTTGCTAATCTATCTTATTATAGATCAAAATGGCTAAAATATTATTGATCCAACACCAAGAATAGATATCAGTTGACAAGTATCTCAACAGACAAGGCTTTGAGTTTCGTGGTTATTTTTTATGGTTAGTCTGTATGGTTTATTTTAGTTTTTACTGAAGAAATTGTTGAATCATCTCTTTTTTTTCTAGACTCTTCCCCCAAAACTAGTTATGTTTATTGTTAAGGACTCCTCACACACCATCTGGACATGAACTCCAGTTTACTTGAGACATTAAATTACTACTTGCATTTAATCAGTAAATCAGCTGGCATTAGTTTTTGCAACCCAAATGCATTTTAATTGTTTGCACTTTGCATTGATGACCTTAAGGCAATGGTGAAAATTAAATGCAGTATTTATTGTACATCAGACTGCAGCATTGTTAAAAAATCTCTTGTAGTTGTATACGTGATGAATTGTGAGAAACAAGTTTAATAATTTGTCATTGTCTCCTGTGGGATTTACTGGTTTGCCGTTAAAAGATATTCAAGTGAAAAATATGTTTTTTTGTGGTTGTTTGAATACCAGATCTCTGTAAGTTATTTTAAAAATGTTCTAGCATTGGCAGCTCTAACCAATTTTGTTTTTACAGGTCGACATTGGGCTGAGAGACACTTGACCACCATCATGCTTAGCATGTACTCCCAGCCTCCTGCCCCCAACTTGGGGCCTCCTCCCTCAGTGGGGATGGTCAATATGCCTACTTCTGGCCTTCCTCCCCACCACCCTCCCCCCAACACCAGCATGCCTCCCCCTTCCCACCCTCCTCCAGGCTCCACTTCATTTCAAGCACTCCACTTCAAGCCGTTCAAAGTGAGCAATAATGTAAACTTTTCACAGATCTTTTCTTTGATATTTATGCTTAAGCATTATGAAAATTGTTTTTTTTTTACTGTACTTGAAAAAGCTGGTAATCATGGTGCAATACGTATGTTATTCCATGTACAAGATGTGTGCTACCTATTAATTGCTTAAAGAATTTTCCAAGTAGCCTCAATTTAGTAGGTAGCAAAGAGTGCCCTAATAAGTGTGCCTACTTGAAACCCTTTAAGAAGTCACCTCAATTTAATGGCAAGATGTTGTGCTTAAATGAATAATCTACACAACAGCATGTGCAGTGGAAAATGCTTACATTGACCTAAAATCATCATATTAACTCAATATTCAAGAAATTGAATTTAGCTGACAATTTGTGTCTGGGTTTTGATTGTCATCGTGAAATTACTTCCTGAAATTGGCATGTAGTTGAAATCTTCCTGCACCCTGGTATTGGTGGACTATCAAATTAAAATTTTGGTGTTTTTCTTTCTAAGTAGTTACCTACTAAAGTTAAATGTTTGAATTAAAACCTGCCTCTTTGAGTCCATAGTTTGGTCGTACCAAGCGGTCATCTGTACTGTGACGATACATTTTAGAGTAGATATACCTATAACACATGCCTGACGCTGCTTCTCTTTGTGTAAACACAGACTGCATCTCTTTATGTAAACACAGACTGCTTCTCTTTTTGTAAACACAGATTGTTTCTCTTTGTGTAAACACAGACTGCTTCTTTTTGTATAAACACAGACCCCAGAAAGCGATTTTGATGGCAAGCGTCTGCGCAAGAGCGTCATGCGCAAGACGGTTGACTACAACAGCTCGATCGTGGCGATGCTTGAGGCGCGCGTGTGGCAGCGAGACGAGCGCGACCGCCCCACTCTGCAGCCTGACATCTGCTACGCCTGCGAGGTCATGCCACCTCAGATGTATCCTGACAACCCCATCAATGCGGTCGTCACCAAGTTTGTCCGCACATCTACTAACAAACAAAAGGTTAGACATCATTAGAAATTGTAGAAACAAAAGGTTAGACATAATTAGAAATTGTAGAAACAAAAGGTTAAACATAATTAGAAATTGTAGAAACAAAAAATTAAACATAATTAGAAATTGTAGAAACAAAAGGTTGGATATCGTTAGAAATTGTAGTAACAAAAGGTTAGACATCATTAGAAATTGTAGAAACAAAAGGTTAGACATCATTAAAAATTGTAGAAACAAAAGGTTAGATATAATTAGAAATTGTAGAAACAAAAGGTTAGACATCATTAGAAATTGTAGAAACAAAAGGTTAGACATCATTAAAAATTGTAGAAACAAAAGGTTAGACATCATTAAAAATTGTATAAACAAAAGGTTAGACATGATTAGAAATTGTAGAAAAAAAAGGTTAGATATCATTAGCAATTGTAGAAACAAAAGGTTAGATATCATTAGAAATTATAGAAACAAAAGGTTAGACATAATTAGAAATTGTAGAAACAAAAGGTTAAACATAATTAGAAATTGTAGAAACAAAAGGTTAAACATAATTATAAATTGTAGAAACAAAAGGGTTAGATATCATTAGAAATTGTAGAAATAAAAGGTTAGAAATCGTTGCGAATTGCTCAGACAAAAGTTAAGATATCATTTCAAATGAAGGGATATAAATATTGTATATCTATGATAATCGTAGTTGTAGACCTCGTTTATAAATGACACTTGACATTGATGGACTTATGCGTCTATTTTTCTTCACGTGAGGTATTTGGTCTCACGTGATCTGCTCTAACAAAAGAAAAAAAAAATCTGCTGTCTCCTTTGAAAAAAAAAAACAAATTGAAATGAATTTTGAAGCTCGTTGTCATGCGTCGGCTCATAAATGTTTGAATCGCTCTGCGTCATTATGGTATTTATATGTCAGTTACTACTCACCTGACGGGCATTCTTTTGGCTGACATATTTTTAATTTCATTTTTAACTTTTCGGCGAAAAATCTTTAGAAAATTTCGAAAGTTATTGTTCCCAAGTCTAAAGGAATTTTAGTAGAAAAAATTAAGGAATGCATTAAACATTACTGACAGCTGTTGTCGACTTGGTGAAACACTCCTGTAGACTCCTATTATTGATTTTGTGAGCATTAGGTGAGAATTATTTCGAAAAAATACATTGCCAGTTAGAGAATCACTTTATAGTCCCAAATACCTGCCAATGTGAAGCGTAACCTATGTTACAGTGCCCGGTGTTTGCATTGGCATGGACTCCAGAGGGCCGTCGTCTGGTGACGGGGGCCTCGTCAGGAGAGTTCACCCTCTGGAACGGCCTCACCTTCAACTTTGAGACCATCCTTAAGGTGGGTCTTAGGACCACCAGCTCATAACGGTCTCCTCCTCCAGTTTTCTTGTTATAAGAACTTTGTTTTTTCCCCTCAGTTAAGGCCACCCATCTATTTAATGTCTCTCTGTAAGCTTTTTTTAAGTATAAAAGACTCATTGTTTACCCTCAGTCGAGACCACCAATCTCATTAGTCATTCCTGTTAGCATTTTAAGTAGAAGACCATCATTGTCTGCTGTATCTACGCTACTCAATGCTATGCAGTCTTTCTCTCATTTTCAGTACAAGAGATAGGTTTGTTTGCCCTCGGCTATCCGTATCTTAGTCTCTCATATCTTTGAATTGTCATAAATAAATTGGCAGAACGCGCTTGTCAATAGCTGGTAGTTGAGGAGATATGAAAGTAATGAGGTTACATGATTCTAGCTGTTTTTAACATTAACTATTGAATGAACATAGAGTTGTTAATTTAAGTCTTGTAACTGCAATATTTTGCTTTTAAGATTCAGTTTGGTTTCTCTACCTAAAGACTATTCGGTAGTGTCGTTCTCCGTTACCAATTATGGCTGGTGAGTTCATAAATACTTGAACCTAGAAAATTGATGTCTCTCACCTGGATAATTCTGTTAATTATCCACACTTGTCCCTGTAGGAAACTTGCTGCTAATGCACCTGTTCTTTATTCGTGTATTTATCATATGCGTCTGATTCAGTTTCCTAAATTACTAAGAATCGAGTCATTTAAGCATCAATTTTTTTACCCAACAGTTGTGCACTTGTGCTGTTACATTGTTATGGTTGCATTGGTTCTCCCACCACAACTCTATAAGATGACACGAAACATCGCTTGATGTTTTCTAATTATTTATTTACATTTGAAAAGGAGATTTAATCACTCCCTCACCCATAGATGTTGAATACATACGATGTGATACGCATCTTTCTTTGAATGATGCATGCCTTCACTATGAGATGAGTTAATCTTTGATACGTTGTTGTCAGTTTTGTTAAAGACTGATTCTGTTGTGCAGGCGCATGAGTCAAGCGTGCGGTCGATGCTGTGGTCTCACAACGACCAATGGATGGTCACGGCAGACACGGCCGGCATCGTCAAGTATTGGCAGACCAACATGAACAACGTCAAGCACTTCCAGGCACATAAAGACCCCGTTAGAGGACTCAGGTATTATACCTACCAAATAAAATATATTTCCATTAGGTATTATAGCTCCCGAATAAAGTATGTTTCCATTAGGTATTATAGTTCCCGAATAAAATATATTCCGGTTAGGATCCTTCCATGCAAAATCTCGCTGCTAAGCTTGCCAAGGTCAACTTATGCTGCATTGGTCCTGTTGCCCGTATATATGTGTGGGTGTTTAGCTGTAATTTGCTGCCTAAAATATATGGCGGCCCTGTCCCTTTCTATATTAATTATGAAATTCGCTGTCCTATGGTCGTGTGAAATTCCAATTATATAAATAATTCTACGTTTCGCTATTCGCAGCAAGTAAATTAATTGTCGAGTGTTTTACTGCCTCGTGATCGAATGATATGGAAAGAATAAAAAAAAAAAAACAGAAGTCTGTCAATTCGTAAAATCACATGTTAGAGTTCTTGAGACTGCCGTTTACTTCCTGTGTTGAAAGATTTGCATTAAGTCCTTTATTCTTCAGCTCCATAATTAGTTATGGAAGCCTCGCAATCTCGCGGTGTTGGTTCAGGTTCCGACGAAATCTCTTACTTGATCCTAGTCATTACTGCCGAATTTTATTCTAGATTAATTAACTCTCAACTAGCGCAATTTAGCTGTGATATAACTGCATTTGATGCACTTGCAAGCTACCCGTGATAACGCGACTGTGATAACTTTCATACGCTAGTTAGACTGTAAGTAGACAGTTAGTGCAATGCATCTCTATGGCTGGCTGCGATCTGTTAGTAAATGTGTGCGTGTGACATGACGAGAGGCGTGCGTGTGGCATGACGAGTTGATTGTATAGAGGCTGAAATGTTCCCTGAATAAGAAAACTGCCAAGCCATCGTCAGGAACGTCTTTAAATATGACCGCTCTAATCTTACAGTAAATGGCAATAAATATCCCCTCCACTGTTCACGATAACAGGATTTTGTGGTGACGTCATACATTAAATATCCTAACGCAATTTACGAACTAAAGTTTCTGTGTCTTTTGGAGCAGTTAATAAACATCCCGAAACTTACTCATAACTCATAGTCGTTGTCCTTCCTCCAAGGAATTAATAACTCGGATATTTTTGTACTCAGTCGTGAAATAAAGTAGGAAATTTATACATTTTATCATTACCCTAGCCGAGCAGAACAAAAGCACATCACTTATCAGCCATTTAATTTTTGAAGTCATCTCTTGCATCGAGTCTCGTGTGAGGCATCAAACATCTTCCTATCAAAAAGCCGGCAGATTAGCGAACTAATTTCATTAAATTATTTGAATCTTGCCAACAAGTCATAACTGCCTGAAAGCTAAATCCAATTGGTTTGCGAGTGCTTAAAGGAAAAATTGGGGTTTTCAAATGCCCCAAAGCTTTCAAATGCCCCAAATAGTTTTTAATCAACATGACAAAGTGAGAAATCAGCAGATTATTCAGCCAGTTGTAGCACGTATTCAGATCGTATATAATTTGTTACTCTTGGGGCCTCTGTGAAGCTGTCGCCGCATGATAGATTTAAATATAGATTAGCAGGTCATTTTAGTACATATCTGCTCTCTCGTCTTCATAATGCGGGAACCAAAACCTAAAATTAGGATTTATTCTTGATTTGCTCGGACTGAAACAAATTGCTCATGCAGTTCCAATGTTTACCATATGTTTATTTCTCGGTTTACTTACGAACATTTTCCACCTGCTCTACTTTAAATCTGATAAAATCGACAATGTTCACTTGAAGAAATTGGCTTGTGAAAGTAACTTTGATTAAAGCGAAAATCGTTTAGAAAATATTTTCGCTAGGAAACGACTCTTCATTGCCTGGTATTGGACGAATGGATGATTTTTGTTGTGATATTGATGATATATTTGTAATCGTTTCAATTATTTCTTCTACCAATGCTCTCAATAATTACAAGCATTGAGTTGCAGAGAATAAACTTTGATGATCTTGAGAAATCTGCACTCGCAAAACTGCAGTCATGCTCGGACGTTGAGATGTCTTATGATGTTCAGTGATTTTTTGAAGACAATCCCTTTAACGGATACGAGTACTCAAAGGAAATTTAACAACAATGCGCCGTTCTTATTGCGTAATTAACAAATTTTGGGAGATTGAAGTCAATACGGTGAATCTCCGATCACCGGAGGTCATTTTAACCCTTTGATCGTGGTTAAAATTCACTTTCGTCAATGCTATTCGTACCTAGTGGCTTGGGACCGAGAAATCCCAGTAGTCACGAAAGGGTTAATTACCTCGTCCCGTTCGATCATTTTCTTCGTGCAAAGCACTTTCTTCTATCATTTTCTTAGCAAGCACATACGTCAAGTGCTTGCAATGCGTGCTTTTATCGTTCATAAACTTGTCCGTTGCAGTATTCGCTACCTTCAGTTCCCACAGACCGACTAGCGATCGTTTAATTCTTTTTTATGTGAAAACTTTTTTGCAGTGAGAAGTGTTTCGAGCGCTCACGGAAGCTACCATTGAATTGATTAACGAATTTTCGGTACTAACAAGAGATTCATGCGACAGATACGTTCCGTTTTATTACATAATCAAAATACTTCAGGATGAAGCTACCCTGGAAAGGTTGATTAAAAATGTTGCCTTCATTCAATACGTGGTTTAAAAAATACCACTTGCTGTTTGACTTCTAGTTAGTATGAGCTTATTACGTCATCGGTAAGATTTGCTACGAAATAAATTATTATTGATTAGCAGTAATTAACAGACGGTAGAGTTTAAATTTCTAGTTGCATTAGTTATTGATATATACGAATAAAGTTACTTGTTAACGTAACAGAAAGAAACATGCGGTATTTGCAGTATCATCGTCTGTCTTTGAGTTGTCATCCATTGGTGCTTTCTAGAGGTGGACAATATGAAAAACTTGCGTTTGCCAATATGTAGGTAATACGATGGGAGGCGCTGATGTCGTTAGTTTTTTACCTGTTCTCTAGCATCGAAATGCGAGGCTATTCATCTGTCTCAATTTTGTGTCTGTTATCAGCGTGAACCTCAAGATATCGCTGTCAAATTTGAAAGTTATTTCTACTACTTTTCTCAATCTCACAAAAATTCTGTGAAGAAATTATCTACATTGATCCTACACACTAAATGCTTTCTTAATTTTGTTGAATAATTAGTGCTATCGATGAAGGATATCGCCGTATTTTCCTTTAATCAAACATTGTTGTTGTGTGAAAGGAGGCGGAAGCTGACGAAATGAATCTCGCCAAACATTGTCTTCTGGCATCATTGGTGTGAATTTTTCACCTGCCTGCCTGGAAATTACAAAAATTATTCTTATTTTAATGAGATTTTCAACTCCCATGCTTTCTCTTCGATTCAGTTTGCTGTCGTAGCATTGATGTAATTCTTCAATAACGTGAAAAATCTTGTAATATAACGCGTTTAAAATAATATTTTTTACATTTTCCGATTCCATTGAACGCGCCTCAAACCATGTGGAGTTTGGTCCTCAGTCGCAGCATCGGCAAGCTTAAATCAAGACAAATCGTTATATTATATTCGGCTCTTTCCTTAACTATGATCGTTGTATTATATTCGGCTCTATGACTTAACTTGACTTTCCTTAACCAATCGACTTAATACTCATAAGCTACGCTCTTATAGGTACCTCACATGTTCTCGCGTGTGGCGATGTTTTACTTCATCTTGCGCCTGCCCAATTTACCGCGAGTTTACAGGAATAATTTCTCTGTTTTAACAGTTGTGCTCGATATAATTGGTTCGGTGCTCGACGTTTAGTTATTTATCTTTGAGCTTGTGGCATCCCATCTCTCCTTATGGATGACTTTAATGACCGCCGCTGATTCGTGTGATTTGCATTTATTTTTATCATAATTCGAATAACGTATGAAAGATGAAGAAAACTAGTGGTTCTATATTGATTAGCGCGGATATTTCTTAATGTTCATCAATAAAGACGACATGACTATCAGTGTTATTCCCTCATTTTTCTTGTTGATGTTGTCTTCTCTCCAGCAGCAGGTACAGCTGAACAAGACACGTGGGCTTAAAGTAATACTATATTTAATTACTATAAACTGCGCCGCGCCACAATTCGACTTTTTAAATAAATTTTATTAGTTTTTTAAACTAATATACTATTTTTTTAACATTCATGTCATTCCGCACCTCCTCCAACGTTACATTCTGGTCCCGTATTGCAGCAGGTATCATCTTGCATGTTCTAAGACATGCACGTTCCCGGTGCTGCGTGTCTGTTTACCGATATTTCAGGGGGCCTTCAAAACAACTTGAAAGCGTAATACGTAACTGACATACTTTTCGTGCTTGCAGACATATTGATTTGTTTTTGTGCTGCTTAATAAAGACTTATTGCAATGAGGATCGTTTGGTTCCTTCATAACTAAAATATTTCCAGCCTTAATTCTAAGCTGTGATAGAACATGTATACTCACCCTCCCCCCTCTCCCTCCCCACACAAAAAAAAAAAATATAAACTATATTCTTTCGAATTTCAAGGGACTACGAACGCAGGCAAGAATTATCATAAAAATAATGGAATAACTTGACCATTATGACGACTCTGATGCTCATATTTAGAAACAATAAACTCGTCCATTGATCCGCGGAGCAAAATTATTAAACTTAACTATGTGGGTGAATTTTTTGCAATAATTGAGTATTATGGTGAACCATTGTCCATTTTGAATTTTGATAACTTATTATTGCAACAACGCTAGAACGCAATTAAGCCTCAAGCCCTCAACTGCTTCTCATAACATCCACACATACCGACACGGTACACCCTTGTGAACATAATAAACTTCGACATCATCAATATGGAGTTGTTTATTTTGCTTGTTGTTGTGCCAAGGATCTACTCTATTAAACCTAATAACAACATCTGAAGGCAGGAGCTGCAATAAAAGTTGTCGTGGAGCGCTCGACATCATCAATACGAAGTTGTTAATTTTGTATGTTGTTGTGCCAAGGATCTACTCTATTAAACCTAACAACACGTGAAGGCAGGAGCTGCAATAATAGTTGATGTGCAGTGCTCGACAGCATCAATACGAAGTTTTTTATTTGTATATTATTATTGTATTATTATTATCCAAGGATCTACTATATTAAACCTAATAACAACATGTTAAGGCAGGAGCTGCAATAAAAGTTTATGTGGAGCGGGCGTGTTTCATTAACCTGAGGCTGGCGTGTGTCTGTTGCAGCTTCTCCCCGTGCGACCTCAAGCTGGCCACCTGCTCCGACGACGGAACCGTCCGCATCTGGGACTTCCTCAGGTGTAAGGAGGAGCGCGTGCTTAGGGGTGAGTCTTCTATATTTATTACAACTGGGACTTCCTCAGGTGTAAGGAGGAGCGCGTGCTTAGGGGTGAGTCTTCTATATTAATGAGGCGTGAAGCTACGAGTATTGATAAATTAATACGAGTATTGATGTGTTAGTACGAGTATTAATGTATTGATACGAGTATTGATGTATTAATACGAGTATTGATGTATAAATACTCGTATTAATGTATTAATACTTGTATTAGTGTATTAATACTCGTATTAGTGTATAAATACTCGTGTTAATGTATTAATACTTGTATTAGTGTATTTATACTCGTATTAATGTATAAATACGAGTATGTAAATTTTTCAGTGCCGTTGGTGTTATTTCAAATCAGATCAACTTTTGCGGATAGAGAAAAACAAAGGCTAATTTGTGACACTTTGTTAGTTGCTAAAACAGCGATTCAACAAATAATGTGTTTTGAAATGTATGGCGATTTAATTAAACATCTATGTTACTTTTACTACTTACGATTGCGCTGAAGAATGTATCATTAACCTTTATCGGATCTTTGTTGGAAAGATATCCTATTATTCATCCAAACAGAGTGAACGAATTCCATTTTGCCTGGATATATTAGGCTCAATTTTACCCAGATATTTCTTGCTACTAATATATAACCAAGCAACTGTCGGCATACAGATAGATTCTTCTGTCACGCATTCAGCTACGCAGTAGACTTGTAACTACTGTATTCACTTTACTCATGCTAGGTAATAATAATGCAGGGAATGACGTGTTCGGAAGCGGTACTTCGGTTAGCGTATCGAAGCGACGTGGCAATTTCAGGGAATAAATCCGTACCGTATAATTATATCCTTCACTGAAATTTCATCATACGCGGCATTTCATCATTGACACATTTCATTTTTATAGCAATTCATCAGTAGTATTTCATAGCAATAATAATTCATCGCTAAGATGGCTGTTATCCTAACCAAACATTTACCAAACCTGCTTCAACATGTTTCCAAAACTAATCAGTATGTCAATTACGTAATTACACTTACATGTACTTATATTAACAAAATACACTCTGTCCAATGATGAATTGCTATAATGATGAAGTGTCTCGTATGACGAGGTGTCTGACAACCAAATCCTTCAGAATCGACCCCACGAATAATTTTCTAGTCCGGTCGAGCCTCAGATTTTTGTTTCCAATTCCAATTGTTCACCAGTCATTAATTCATTGATTTATTGTCACTAATTATTTACAAGTACCAACAATTATTCGGCTGTTCAGATTTTATTTATTTACCAGTTTCTAGTCTTTATTTAATCTGGCAATTATTTGGGTAGAAATCAAAAACTCGAGTCTTTAGAGCTTTTCTGTTATTATGTAACTCATAATATCATGCAATCGATGATTTTCAGCATATGAAAATTTAGGTATCCAAGATACCCAAACAACATACACACTGACGACCTGTTTTAAGTGTATAATTATATAATTTATGCCATTTTATATCTATTACAAATAATGAATTATTTTTATTTGGCTGCAATGATTATTTATCTTGATGTGCAGGTCACGGAGCAGACGTAAAATGCGTCGCGTGGCATCCGAGCCGCAGCCTGCTGGCGTCCGGCAGCAAAGATAACCAACAGCCCATCAAACTGTGGGATCCTCGCACCGGCACCCCTCTTGCTAAACTGTGAGCACTGTAACTGTTGATTGCTTGCGGCCAAACTGTGAGCACTGTAACTGTTGATTGCTTACGGCTAAACTGTGAGCACTGTAACAGTTGATTGCTTACGACCAAAATGTGAGCACTGTAACAGTTGACTGCTTACGACCAAACTGTGAGCACTGTAAGAGTTAACTGCTTACGGCTAAACTGTGAGCACTGTACCAGTTAACTGCTTACGGGTAAACTGTGAGCACTTTAACAGTTAACTGTGAGCACTGTAACCGTTAACTGCTCACTGCTAAACTGTGCTTACGTACGGTAGCATCAGTCGAGCCATTTGATCAAAACAAAGATTTTGCCATGTTGACGTTTATGACGATTTCTAAAATGATCCCATATTTCTTTTCCACGATTTATAAATCCTAATGAATTTGGGGTCATATCTATCTATTGCGCTAGTGTTCCGTGTCAAGTGTTGCATTTAATCGTCATACTGGCCTATTTCGTGTCTGTTTATTCTAATATTTTTGCCTGATTTGGTGTCATCGATATCTGATGATCTTTGAACTAATTAACTAATTAACTATACCATTTCTATGACGCAGAATCAGCAATGCCTTACTGTACGTTCGTAGTAACCTTCATTCCATCGCCGTGTTTTAGACATTAGTTTTGGTGCTTGTCTCTATTATTTTATCAGTGGCGTTGGTCATTTATTACCTAATTGTATACGCATGACCGACTATTATCTTTCAATAATTGATAAGGCTTAGTCATGTGTTTATTTCATGAATGGTTTGTTTGAGCAGACACGCTCACAAGAGCACAGTCATGGACCTCAAATGGAACGCCAACGGCAACTGGCTGTGCTCGGCTTCCCGCGACCACTTGCTCAAACTCTTCGATGTGCGCAACCTGGGCACTGAAATGCAGGTAGTGTAACTATGTCGCCACTTCGAAGGCGAAATGGAGCTAGTTTTTGCATTAAAACACTGACGATGGAGTGGTACATATGTGTTACATAAATAATTTTAGCTCTTTTCAAAATAGATTTCAATATATAAGCTAGGGAGCTATTTTCATTGTAGAAATTTTTGCGGTTTTTGAAAAGACATGATGAATGAAAAATCAGTGAAGTGCATGTATTTAAGAAAGAAAAAAGCAGCAAAAATTAGTTCAAAATGGCATGTTCGTCGGCGGCTCTAGGCATATTCTGCAATGGAAGTTTGGCATATAAGCAGTCGTCGTCAACATGTCGTCAAATATTTTTCACTTTCAGAATTAAATAATCATTGTCATTCAAGTCTTTCGATTGACTTGATGATTTCAATTCAATGACGCATCCTCGCATAAATATCCAGTTTGCCTTCACGGCATATTTATTCAGTTCCCTTGATTAACTTAGATTTTTTTGTTCCGGAGTTGCCATAATAACAAATACATAATTTCGATTGTCTTATTTGAACCTACCCGTTTTATCTATTGCGTTATGCTCAGTGTGTGCAATATGGGCATTATATTTTTGAGAGGCAAATGCTGGCTATTGCCTTATTATAAACCTCGCTAGATTGCTTCGTTTTTCGTGTAATCCACCTTTTTCTTGCAAGGGTCTCACTGACTTGCCACCTTGTCAAGTTTTATTACGGTGAATAAATTTTTTTCACAGGTGTTCCGCGGCCACAAGCGCGAGGCCTCGGCCATCGCCTGGCATCCTCAGCACGAAGGTCTGTTTGCGAGCGGAGGGTCGGACGGATCCATCCTCTTCTGGCACGTTGGCAACGATAAGGAAGTCGGTAGCATCGACTCTGCTCATGACGGCATCATTTGGGACCTGGCATGGCATCCTCTAGGTCACATTCTATCGACGGGATCAAATGACCACACCACCAAATTCTGGACGCGGAACCGTCCCGGCGACAAGATGAGGGATCGCTACAACTTGAACACGCTGCCGCCTGGCGTCCTCGCTGATGACTCGATGGACATCGACGATATTCCGCTGTCCGCGAATTACGAGCACGGCAATGCAGTGGGCGGCGCAGCGATCCCGGGCATGGGTCCTGACGATAAGATCCAAGAGGCACAGGCTGATGGTGGGGCTGAAACCATCCCAGGTCTGGACTTTGACGCAGCGCAGTTCGAAAGGTTTATTAAGAAGACGCCATATGCTAAACCTATCCCCAAAAACTTCCAGGCGGCTTGGAACGCGGCTGGTGGACTGGAGGACGAGATAATTGAAGATCCTTCTGTAAGTTCTTGAACTATTCAAATGATAAAATTTGAATCAGGACTCCTCTTTTCCAAATCTATATAATGGTTAATATCGTATGCACAAATAACTCGTCAACTCTTGGTACTTCTCAAGTATTTGTAATCATTTTGAAATAATCATGTTGTTCCTTGTTTTAGGTGGTATTCTGATTATCTTTCTAAATAAACGGGAAATTGAAGTGATTCTGTGTTTGTATGCAGTCGAGCTGGGTGGTGACTGACGTGGAGGGCCTGTTCAGCGAGCCCGTCAAGAGAGAAGGTCCTCCTGTCATCACGGAGACGGGGGAGGAGCTACCCCCAGGCTCTGTGCCCCTTGATGAGATAACGGCCGATGCTATCGCTTATTACGGCTTCTTCATCCCACTTGGTGAGTGCTTTGGGCGTAAGATCTTGCTCCTTATTACAGTTCTTATTATTGTAGGGGAAATTGCAGCTTCATCATCCCACTTGATGAGTGCTGGGTTGGGGATAAAAAATTTTCATGCAATCGCTTAAATTGACTATTTTAACAGGCTCATTTGAATGCTTTCATTAACTAATAGAAATATTTTCATTCTTCGATTCTCTTTCTTTTGAACACATTTGATCGAATTTTCTAATGAATCATTGATCCTAAAAGCCCCAATTACCATAATTACAGACAAGGTGCCTGGCAACGTCATACAAGACGCCTTCAGCTTCATGCACGAGGACGAAGCCATTGCTGAACTCACCAAAGACAGCGATTTTGCTCGCAAACTTTGCCGGGAAAAGCGCCAGCTTCTCAACCCGAACGCCAAGTGAGTACCTCTCAAAATTCCAAGGTGTCAGTCATTAGGTAAATTAAATGTTTTGTTTATGCGCAATTGGCATTAATCCCAAAAATTCAGCTCTTGCATAACCGCGGTAATCGAATCCGAAGCCATGGGGTACAGTATTGCTATTTTTCTGCACGCATTAAATACTGACTTATCACCATCGTCTCGTTGCAAGTGCGCTCTGGATGTTTGCTTAACGTTATTAACATATCCTAAGTATTTCGGAAATGATAAGTTTTGAATTATTTATGCAGGGACGACGAAGGTCACCATAAAGGGAACCAGGAAGACCCCTTCAACTACCACAACACACAGAGCGGCTCGTCTCAAAATAACCGCACTGGCCGTAGCGGCAACTTTAATCGTCGAGACCACGACAGGCGGGATGGCGGCCAGTATAATCGGGATCGTGGTGGCAGTGGAGGAGGTTCTGAAGATGGACGATCTTTTCGGGGAGCAAGAGGAGGGTATCGCGGGGGTGGTGACGACGATGGGTTCAGGAATTATCGAGGTCGAGGGCGTAACTGGCAAAACGACAGAGGCGGCCCTCCGCCTAAGTTTAGAGGAAGAGGTGGTTTCAATCCCGAGAACGGAGGATATCGTCGCGACGAAGGAGAGAGGGAGGAATGGGAGCGGGATGGAAGAGGAGGTCATGAGGAGTGGATGGGACGCAATGAAGGCGCAGACCGTTTCAGAGAAAGTGGAGGGGATAGAGGCGGATTCAATCGACGTCCTTGGGATGACGGAGGTGAAAGGAGGAACTGGCATGACGAAGGAGCTGGACGTGATGCTTGGGGTCCTCCGAGAAGAGAAGAGTTTGTGGACAGGGGAGGCTTCAGAGAGAGAGATGGGGGCTTTAGGAACGCCCGAGACGAGGGCAGAGGCTATCCTCGTGACAGAGCACCCTTCCGAAGAGGTGTTCCCGGAGAGGATTTTTATGATCGTGGATTTCATGGGGAAGATGGGGGTCCTGTTCCTCCCCATCCCCCTGTAGGTGAGGAGCAACCCGACAGTTTCCGCTTCCAGTCGAGAGGAAGGTTCAGGGGCAGGGAAGGTAGGGAGGAGGAGGTTGGTTTTAAGAGGAAGGCAGATTGGGATGATCGGGAGGAGGAATGGAGGTGGGGAAGAACGGGTCCGGGAAGGCCCGTTAGAGGGAGGGGTGGGGCAGACCATGACTTTGGGTACGGTGGATACTAAACCACCAATTTTTATTACCGTTTTTTTCATCAAGAGTATTTTCTTATGAATTTTTATTAGCTATGTGTTCTTGATTAAATGAATTTTGCCTATAGTCTTAGCCCGTGGCTCCAATGTAGCTCAGACCTCTCTTAATTTTTGTTAGTGTTACGTTCCCGTGTCGTGAAAATTGAATATATCAGAAAATGAACAAGAAAATTAAAATGTGTTTGATGTAATGATAGGCTGTGATACAGTTCTCTTCTTGATTTCTATCTAAAAATGTAAACTCAATACTTTAAATTTGTGACCCAATTTGTATCTCTCGTCTCATCAATTCCATATTGATTTTCTCCGTAGCTCGTGATGTTTCTTGTGTGATAGCTACAGAATTGTTAGACGTAATACAAATACTGTCGTCGGTTTTTGAGGCTAGTACACGCTAACGGGCTTGATGCACATGTGTAAGTACGAGTTTTCTCTTCAGTAAATAGGGGATAGCTTTAAGGAAGATAGTCGCTATAAATATATCATTAGGTCTCTTGAGTTATTTTAGACATCACCCGGTCATTGTCACTAATTACACATGAATTGCGCGTTCGTCAAATGTGTGGTTTTAAGCTACGCGCCTTCGTTGCCTTCAAATATTTTCATCAGGGATTATGCTAATATTTTGGAATATTTGTAGCCATTTTTGTGCTTTTATTGTTCTTTTCTGCTACTGTGTATCGTTGTCGATAATTAATACCCGTTGAAACGAGTTTGAATCTGCGAACTTGTAACAAACTCAAAACACCGATAACAAAATGAATTGGAGAAATACCCGTTTTCTAGATTTAAAATGTTCCAATGAACTGCACTACTATGAATTTGTTTTGAGATACCGGTTGCCAGATTTAGAAATGATGTAACAATTATGGATTGAAGATATTGAAATGCTCAATTTTCAACGTAGTTGAGCTTGTTGCCCGTGTACTTAAACAAGCTCACTCGACTTAGCTTCTACAGATACATCAATTTTACATTATTTATATTTTCTCTCTAAGAAAGTATGAAACTCGGGGTTTTCAGGTTTCTAGGATTTTCTTTCAGGTTTTAGGTTCCCATCTTCATATTTCCAGAATTTTGCCTCGCATGTTCCATTTCCATGTTGCGCAAACTTGAAAATGTTCACTATTATTTTGAAGGTACTTCAGTAAGCAATAGATGGTAATTCGTTGTCGGGGAAAATAACCAGATGGAACATCCTATGTGTATTTGTGTTCTACGTTCTGAGATTTGTTATTTGATAATTTATTAAAAGAACAGTTATTTTTTACTTCTCTATCCCAATGTTTTTTTTATTAAAATGCAGTTGATCGCGTTGAAGTTTCGTCTTGAACGATACATTTTATTTTTAATATCAAATTCCTTACATAATCGCAATGTCATCTGATCCACCTCAAACATAGAACCTTCATGCGTTCTTTGCCATTCAGCGTCTTTCATAATCCACGCGTTCCTTGCCGTTATTAGCCTTTCATAATCTACGGGTTTTCTGCCGTTTATAGCTTAGCATCATTCACGCGTTTTTAGCGCATTTTCTCATTTATGGAAAAAATGCACTATTGTGCTCGCCATGTCCGTCTGTCCGTGACCTCAAGTTTTCGTCGACGAGAAAATGCGCTCTCTGGTACTCACTGCAGTGAGTACTGAGTTATATTTTTTGCAATGTCGCTAGTGAGCCAACACTCATGATGGGGTCGAATAATCGCAACTATTATTGGACGGTTTGTACTCAAGCGACATCTCCTGTTTGGTGAAGTCTATGGTCGCTTATTGTCCGAGTCGTCCAGGAAATACGGATCGAATTGCTTCAATGGCATCCTACGATCCGACATGTTTTCTTTCCACCTACGTATGATAATGCGTCCACTGTAGACTTGGTAACTCAGGCTTGATGCTGCTATCACGTGCTGAGGCTGAGTATGGAGTTGGCTAGTTCGAGTTACATTTTTGGTACTCTTTCCTTACCCACTAGTGTGCATTTTCAATTAATGTAATTAAACACCATATTCAAGTAATTTTCGTAATGATTAGTAGGGGCGTTAGAGCAGAAAAGTAATTCATCACTGTTCTTGTTGATGGTGAAGCTGAGTTCGATCAATATCTTACTGAAACCGAACGTTCCTTTAGGGAAGCGTGTAAGGGAAAAACGAAGAGCATTCTCGGTTTATTCTATTTACGGCCGCAACGTCGAAGTTGACGAGTTCTTTAAAGAAATTGATAACTAATCGACTTATTCATCGGTTGATCAATCGTGATACAGCACGCCTGAGAACGAATCCCTATCAGTGTAAAAAAATCCCTAAATAGGTTAATACTTTACCTGACGTTTAATATATTTACTCGTGTTGGTCTTGCACGAGTCAATGATATGCTTATTTTGATCGGATGTTGCCATTGCACTGGTCTACGTATGGAACTCTCATGACCGGCCGGAAAATTGACCGAGAAGTCGGTGCAAATTTATAAATTAGCATAATATCGTATGATAGCTTGGATGTATGACCAAGGCCAAAATACAGCAAAAAAACTTGTTTTGGTTCTTCGAAACCAATGTTCTGCAATTTTTAACGACACAAACTAGCTGTCCTAAAAAGTAATTGAGATAAATGTAGATATGTTGAGTATTAAGCTCATGCTCTATTATGAATTAAGTAATGAAAATACCAGAAAATAATCAATTAGTAATCTGTGCATTCACTTTAATTGATTATGTTCATAACAAATATTTTTAAATAATTTTTTTATGAAACACTCGTCAAGCACATCAATTTTATGCACGATGCGTGCCTCTCATTACCGAACGTTCATTTGTGCGATGGCTCATCTGTGTTTACTATAACTTTTCTTCTCTCCACGTCCACCGGGAGCAAGGGTTTTTAATTTTTATTTTGTTACCACGCATCCTCTGCATTGCATCAGTGCTGGTATTTCTTTGATAATTAAAGTCTTAGTGGATAATGAATATAATGTAACGCATAGTGGATAGATATAATGTGACGCATAGTGGTCAGTGGATATGCGTTTGTTGTGACTTGTGAATTTGACTGTGAGTTGTCACTTGTCACTTATGCATTGTACCTACTAGCTATTCCAAATTTCCCAAAAACTTGATGAAGACAGTCTGAAATCTGAGTCTGAACTTCTGAAGTAAAGTAGTAATGCAGTCTGGACTCTGGACTGTGGCGGACTGGCGCCGTCTGGCGGCTTATTTCTCTGGCTCATCCCATGTCATGAATTTCATGATGTCTATGCCAATTGCCAATGCCAATATCAATATGCCATATGGCACTGCCTGCACTAGGCTATTTCGTATGCTTTGTGCAAAAATTGTGCCCTTCAGCGGTTCAGCCCTTGTAAATCATTGTTCAAATTCATGGCTATGATGGCTTTGTGCTGGTGCTGCATTCTGTGTACCAGGGTGGAATTCTAGAAATGGAAGTTCACTTATAAAAAAGCTTTCCACCCAAGGTGGAATGCTTTCCTTAGATACAGTTTTTCTTTTATTTAATGGATTTTTTGAAAATTATCCAGGCTTTTTATTTGTAATGATCAAGTTCAAGTTGAGTACCTGTTTAGTTAACCAGTACTGTAGAGTGTAGACATATACCATATTTGGGGGCAGGGCTTATGGGCACAACCAATCACAGCTTGAAAGCATCTCCATCAACCAATTACAGCTAGAAAGCAGATAACATTACAATTCCAATAACCAATCACAGCTGGAAAGCTGGAAGGGCCTAAAATCCCAATCCCATCAACCAATCACAGCTGGAAAGTGATAGGTTATGTATATGATGGACTGAAAGTGGAAAGTTCCTGGCCTTTCCAAGCTTTCAGGTCCTGCTTTCCAATATGCTATGTGTACTGTTTAATTTAATATCCCTCTAGAATTCCACACTGCTGTGTACCTATTGATTTATAATTTATATGATTCATACACACATACAGGGCTACTGGCCAGGGTGCAGTTGGTGGATGCAGCGTCGCCAATATATGGGTTTTTAAGCCCAAAGCTTCGCCAACCATTTACAAGATGTGTCGCTACTCGCCACTCGCCAGGCATGGAATATATCTACTTGGCGAGCCGCCACTCGGCGACTGAATTTTTTGAGCCGTGGTTCTATGGATTTGCCAGCCGTGATTCCATTTCTATGAGCCGTGATTCCATTTCACCGAGCCGTGAGTTCCATATCTTGACCATGAAAAGCCATTTTCAAGGTGCAAATTCATTTACAAAGTCCATGCACGTGTTACCCCAAATCTCTAATTTTACCCTTAAACAGTCAAACGGCAACAATAAAATTTGTCTCTACTGTAAGTTCAGCACACGTTAATGCAGTCTGACCGCTTTGACATGACCGCAACTATGCGCGATCTTCAACAAAACGTTTCGTTGATTTGTTTACATTACGATGTTTATGTTTTTTCTGCAAGATATTTTTGGCGGGAACGGTAAAGCAATGCGGATTGCGGAAGTTGAAAATTTTATGAAATGACATGTTTGCAAAGTGCAAACCGCGATTTTTTAATCAAACAAAAATTTATGACATTCGAGCTGCGAGATTTCATACCTACTGAAATTATATGATATTAGAACCGTGATATTTCAGACAAAAATAGGACTTTTCCAGACTAGCTACTCGCTAGGTAGTTTTTAATGAAAAGACATTTACGCTGAGTAATCAAAAACTATTTACAAGCCACGAACTTATTTACAAGGTTGCATGCACATGTTATCCAAAATAACTAAATTTACCCTAATAGGGTAAACGCGGTATATTCCGACACTTTAAGGACGCATCGAGAAATGAAAAACTATAAAAAAAACCGTATGCGTTACGTAAGTTCTGTTGCCTTCACATGACTCTCAAAACACTTCAATACGCGTCAGCAACGATGAAACGTCACAAAATGTTGCCATATTTATTAAAAAACCTTTAGAATGGAAACCTCTCAAATCCCTATATTCCGTCACTTTGTGTGGCAACGTCCGACACGTGGTGAGTCGTATTGCGTCAGCGCTTCAAATTTAACTGATACGTATTGCCGACATCCACGTGTTCGAATTCCGTTTGCTGTGTGAGCTGTATTGGGATACAACACGGCTTTGAATTAGAACAAATTCCGTTTGCTGTGTGAGCTGTATTGGGATACAACACGGCTTTGAATTAGAACACTAACGAATATTGAACACTACTTAATTACTAAGAATTTCAATCTAAATGTGTCGGCAAGATCTTCTGAAGGCATAAATTTTGCTACTGAAGTGTCGCCAAAGATCTTGCAATATTCATCCACTCTCTGCACAGTGGCTTGCAGGCAGTTTTACATTATTATTAACCCTTTACTGCCTGATTTTCTGGGTCGAAAATTGCAAATTTCACTTTTTCAGTTTTTAGTCTCGCCTTAAAACTGACATTCTGACCTATCCAACGGTACCAAAATCATCTCTGTACGTTGATTTATGCCTTGACAACAGATCACAAAAGGGTTAGGGGTGACCGGGTGGAGGAGTTCTTTCACATTTAAGATAGGTGAAAATAACCGCTACCGACTGGGCACATAAATAGACGCTCTGAACTGAAGATGCTGATCTTTAGTTACTTGGCTGCTGTTGTGTGGGATGGTGCTCATGCAGTGATTGCGGTTGTTCCCACCATCCTTGACTGAATTTCAGCTCCAGTAATGTCTAGTCTTGTATCCATACCTGGCATGCCACCTTGAATGCCTATTTCGAGGCGCTCGGGACGTTGTCGCGCTCTACACTTATTGTTACTGCACATATAGGTTTGCACTTGTCACTGCAAAGTGCAAACCTATCTCCTCCTAGAGTTTTTAAGCTACTGCAAAGAGAGATATACCATTCAATTTGCAAATAAAAGATCTAGAGATTGGTTTTAGCTTTTTTTTCAATTTTGTTATAGTTTTGAAAATATTTTGAAAAAAGAGAGGGAAATTTGAAAGGGGTGGGGAAATAAAAATTTTTTCAAAAAATTTGTAATTCCGACACCGTGTGAGCTGTGTCGGAATACAACACACGGCTGTGTGTCATAATTCCAACACCATGTCAGAATTAGTTTTTATGTGTCTAAAGCAGTCTCTTAAATCAATCATTTATTAATTTATTTACCACTTAAAATCTGCAAATACAAGTATACTTAAAGGATTTCTAATATATTCACAGACTTGTTTAAAAGTCTGATAATACTTTAGATTAAGTGCATCCAGAAAAAGGGTGTTTTTTTAATTATATGTTTTTTGGGAT